CCTTTGCGATTAATAAATTCGAAAGCATGTAAAATAAATGACAAAATCCACCTTGAACTCAAGCCTTCTAATGGATCATTTGCAATGCACAGGAAAACACAAATTGAGTCATAATTTAATGAGATAAAAACCCAGCTTGGAGTAACGTAAAGTTCCCAATACGATTATTTGAACTGCGTGTAATAAGAGTTATACTGTATTTATGGTAATCAATATTAATAGGTAAACTGTATGTATTTCATGTGACACACACATAGATATCATAAAGTGAAGCAAGAAAACGTATGCATCGAACTCCCAGACTTGAATAGGTCCTCTGGATTATCAGATACTTGTAGACTGATTGGGTGTTCCAATCTTTCTTAAACAGAACTTTGACAATACGCGAGGGAATGGATCCGGGGACAGGAAGAGATGACCACCAAACTCGTGTAACATGACTCTCATTTCGGAAACATATTTCAGTTTTCAATATCACACTTGTATATTGATTATTATGGATGAAGTGTATGCATTCCGAACTTGATCTCCTACTTCCATGATGTTTTTAGATCTCTTCTATCACCGTTTGAATTTGCGCGAACCTTGAGTATAGCGATAAAGTTTGTATTAGTTCAAAAGTGATAGCTCAGATTTGGAAAATATTTTATGTAAAGCAGCATGAGAATTCATTCTTACTTATTTATTACTTGTTTATTAGGTTAAACATACGTATTCTGAATAGCTTATCTCTTTTCATTCAGTGCACAGTAAATATGCCTATTAATAAAAATTTTCCAGTTTAAGTAAAGTGATAAATTATTTGACTACAAACCATACACGCATTATCCCTAATCCTAAAAGGACTAAAAATATAAACAAAGAAACACAAAATTTGACCTTCAAAAGTTGACCTTGATGTGTCCATCTCGCCCAATAAGTTGAAAGGGGATTAAATACTGAGCGTCTTATTGTTGGTCTCCCGTACCTGCCACTTTGCATAATACGGAATTTGTTGCACTGACGATGCACATTTTCCATAACTGTCGTTCTCAAAATGCATTCGCGGAAGTCATATTTTTCACAGCTGGAGTATATCTTCTCGCTTGATGTTGGTTGTAGAAAACAGTTAGACCTCATTAAATATAATTTTTCACATTTGTGCGGTTTCTGATTTGATCAAGTTTAAGGTTGAATTTATTTTAATTGCCATCTGGCAGTTGGGATTGGAATGTTATCGAAAATACTTTCCTGCGTTAGAAATAGGAATAAGTTAGTTGCCTCGACTGCGTTCGTCAGTTGTTAGAGTGTGGCATTTATTAGAGGAAACTTGCAAATTCTGTTGGATAGTCAACTTAGTGGACTTCATGCAAAAGCCACTTCCTCCGATGCTCAAAAATTACTTAGGGCAAATAGAAGGGTGACAGCATGAAATTACATTCTGATATCAAACCCACGAGTTATTTTTTAGAAATAAATTTTAATTGTTTTGTTTTACAGACGCTTCGTTATTTTACAACTGATGCACCGGAAACCGTCAGCGAACTCAAGAGAGATTGTGCATTTTAATGGCATTCGACTCATAGTTGCCGAAACATGAGTAGATATTAGAACAGATATGTTGAGCCTGATATGGGGAAATATCATATTCCATCCCGTGAATGTGGCTCGGAATACTAAGCGTTGAGAGGAACAAATGTGATGAGAGCCAGGATGGTTCCTCGAGTTTAATCAATACCTATATATATATTATGTGTGATATACGTTATATATTATATATCCTTGGTACTCAAGCAAGTCATTTCGACATATTATATATAGAACCTGAGCTGCAGATATTCTCACTTGTGAATGAAACTTGCGGACGCAATGCGATCAACTGTGTGAGGAAATGGGAAATCTACTCCAACCGCTGTGGTGCTACGTGAGAACAATTGTTCTTTCTTCACCAGTAATATTTTCCCAAAAAGCATTGAATGCAATAACCCAGCGTCATCGAGTCGGGCGCGAATGATTGCCAAATCTTATTGCACCGTGAACTTATCAACGACGTTCACCGCAGAAAACAAGTCTACGAAAACAGATGCAATCTTTTCAAAACCGAAGCATCAGGATTACTCAATTGTGATTGGATGGAACGAGTGGAGAAAGTTATTCAAACAACGTCAAGTATCTGCCGATTCAAAGACATGGAAAGACTAAATAAGAAATTTCTGTCCCTGAACCCGGCAAAACATAAAAACGCCAAATTAATCTACAATCCCTCAACGTATCAACTTGCACCAAGGGAAACATCGATTTTGCTAAGAGGACTCAAATTCAACTGCGCCAACGCAAGGCCAATCGCTTTCATCGCCTCAGTTGAGGCCGGAACTCGACAGTGACTGGAGAAAAACGACAACAGCTCAAGACAAAAATCCTTCAGCACCTCACACGTCTGAGAGATATATATCACCTACCACCGGCTGAGATCAAAGCACTAAAAGCACTACGCGAAAATCTTGATCGTCATTTTACCCACGGACAAGAGTAATGCGACTGCGATACTGGACAAAACGGAGTACAAAGAAAAACTGGGTAGACTCATCGGTGACTCGGAGACGTATCAACCAGTCATAGGAAACCTTATAGAAAATCTACCTAACAGGTTGACTAAAAAGCTCACAGAACTCAAGAAAAACAACAAACTCAGTGAAAAATAAAACAAAGATATCAAACCTACGGAGGGTCCTATCCCGTGGATCTACGGACTACCAAAGGTGTATAAAACCGGCGTACCACTACGTCCAATCGCTTCTTCGACAACGGCTTCAAACTACCAGCTGGCCAAGCTTCTCTTCCATTTATTACGCCCATCTATTCCAGCAGATAACGGCATAAAAAACTCCATCACATTCCTAGATCGAATAAGAAAATTATAGCTGAAACCGAAAGAAAAGATGATGTCCTTCGATGTCACATCTCTGCTTATAAACATATCCACACAACTAGCTCTGGAGAGCATACGGAATCTGATAACAGATGATCCTCATCTTCCAGAAACAACACCACTGTTAGTGACTGACATCATGGAGCTGCTTGAACTCTGCATGCATACCTACAGTTTGACGGGTGAAAGGAACCCCAATGGTATCACCAATATCCGGCCTACTAGCTGATGCGGTGATGAAACAGTTCGAAGCCGAGGCATTTGAAGAAAACCACCCTCGTCTCTGGATTCGATATGTGGACGACACATTTGTGGTGCTACCGGCAGAAAGAATCGAACAATTCCATGATACCCTAAACAATGTTTTGTCAGGGATAGCGTTTACCCGTGAGGAGGAAAACGACATGAAGCTCCCTTTCTTGGACGTCCTCGCCATAAGAAAACCAGACGGAAACACGGAAACCACTGTGCACAGAAAACCCACAACGACCGACCAGGTGCTGAACTACGACAGCAATCACCCCACGTGCCACCTTAGGAGCTGTGTGTACACTTTATTCCGCCGTGCGAACACACATTGTAGTACAGAAGAACTTCGGTATCAGAAACGAATACATCTGTTCAATCGATTCCGCACAAATGGATATCCCAAAACGAAACTCTTATCACCATACATACGTGGGATATCAGAAGCCGTCGATCACATTCTTCACCCTCTGGATGTCCCCATTGCCCACAAATCTACAACGTTGCGGTCAATTTTGTTCAAAGGCAAGGACTATGTAGAACCACATGACCAATCAGGGGTCGTGTATGCAATTCCGTGCCTAGACCGTGACCAACGTTACGTGGGAGAGATAGGCAAACAACTGTGCGCTCGCCTACACGAACATACTTGCACTACGACGCACCGACCAGAAGTCACGCCTCTGAAACCACAACAGGTCACGAGGTCAGAACCAATGACGCAATCGACACGTGCAAATCGATAAACATTGGGCAAAGATTGTACAATCAATGAGGAACGCGGGATTGATGGACAAACAGGCGCGACGCAAACCACAGTGCGAGGCACAAGCAGAGCCAATTCATTCACACGTATTATCGTTTGACAACGAGTCCTAGTCCGAATCGAAACGCCATAATAAATACTCTCACTCGGTGCTCGCCTTCTCCTTTTCAATACATATATATCAGTACAGGGCGGTGGTGACCCGGTGGTAACGTCACCAAATTATCACCCCGGGGATGTGAGTTCGAATCCCACCACCACCACCTGACCTTCCCCATTGTACGTGTGTTGAATGGAAGCCCTTTGATTGGCCGCTTCTCGCTTCCTGAAAATTGTACCATTGCATATTCAATAAAAGGAAGTAAAATAAAAAATAAAAAAGATATGGATGACCTGACACACTGACATGTACCATGTATGTTATCGACTTTGTCGCTGAGATGAAACCACTCTACCGTATAGTGGAGCGTTTACACATTGCCTGAATAATCACGTTGAAAAGAATTAAGTTTAACACATTGTAGTATTTTTTTATTATTCTACAGGAGCTTAGAGAAACCAACTGAGCAAGACAGCCCGAAGAACAATAGATAGTCTTGTATCCCGGGGCCAACTATGGTCCGGCTAGGGATACGGAAAGTTCGAACCCTAATAATGTTAAGGCATTGCTGAATGTCACCAGCTTTATGCATCAATCGCCTCCAATAAAGAACGAACCCGGAACCCCATGGAATGGCCATACCTGGGAGTAGTTGATCAGACTGACCAATTGCATTTTCACGAGCGCGAGAGATCATCATTGTGAACCGATTGAGTTATTCAATTGTGACTACTACTTCCCCCTTCCCCATAGGTCCAGTTAACACACTTGGGAACCAGTTAACCCAAATTTGGTCAATCCTGTTATGTACAAAATAGTCGGTTAAGGGATGAAAAAGAAAAGCAACCGATCGACCGATCGATGGAATCGACCTTGGACTAGCAATTCAAACGTATGACTCGCCTTCGGATCGAAACGGGCATATTTCGTGTGGAATTCCGGTCACATGATTCAGATCAAATTATCTATACTTAAGAGGATCATTTTCGATTCAATTCATGAGATGGTACGGTAATCGGGATCAATGTATACGTTTGAGGATTCAGGGTTATGCATGGAGTCGATGTGGATGGAATTGGATTAATGGCAACTGTAGGGGTATTTGATGGTGTTGCTGGGATTAGTATTGTGGTCGCTCCTGCGGCTGCGGTTGTTGGTGCTGCTGGTACGGTATCAGGTATTTGCACGGGGCCGCCAGTGTTTGGCAGAAGTCCCATCAGCACAGGATTTACTGCCGCTAACTTCTGCCGGAGTAAATCATACAAAGAAACGGAAACAGGGACCGTTCCGATGTGATTCGGGTCTACCTTATTCGTGTTCGACGGTGCGGTCAGAATCGTCCTGAACTGATCACCAAATTGAGCGGTATCGCTCAGTGTTGACTGGAAATGTGCATGCAGATGAGTGGTGCTTTTCTGAGTTTTGACTGGGTGTTGTGTACGCTGCTGCACAGGCAGTTCTTTCCGCTGCTGCTTCTGCGACTGTGGTGGACCATGATCATACAGTCGCTCCTCCTCCTCCTCGTTGGATGAACGCATCACTTTCGATTTGGTAACTACTTCCACTTCGGGAGGGAGCAATAGAGGACGCCAACATCCATCGCCTAAATAAACAATCGCCAAATCCCCGACACGACCATCACGGATCGTCAGACCGTCCGCTTCACGTAACAAGAGTCGATGAATTTGTCCGGGTCGGATTGTTGTCGTGAATG